GTCGTTGCTACTTCATAACTAATTTTGCCACTGTCATGAATCAGAATGTAAATATCTGATATGCAGGATGTATTTTTATTCACTGGACCAAATTGGACACAAATACTGGATACGCCCAAATTTGAATACTGATGGGGTTGGGGAGATTGATTTTGTCATTTGGGAGTTGTAGTTTCTGAGATGTATAGTTCACCTACAATCAAAGAGCATTCTGAACTCCACCAATGATGGAATTGAACCAACCTTGGCACACAGAACTCCCAGGACCAACAGAAAGTACTGGAAGGGTTTGGTGGGCATTGATCTTGAGTTTTGGAGTTGTAGTTCACCTCCACCCAGAGAGCAGAGTGGACTCAAACAAGGATGGATCTGGACCAAACTTGGCACGAATACTCAATATGCCCAAATGTGAACACTGGTGGGGTTTGGGGAAAATAGATCCTGACATTTGGGAGCTGGAGTTGCTGGGATTTATAATTCACCTACAATCCAAGAGCATTCTGAACCCCACCAACGATAGAATTGAGCCAAACTTCCTACACAGAACCCATGTGTTTTCTGATGGTCTTTGGTGACTCCTCTGACACCCCCCTCATGATCTCCCCAGGGATCCTGACCTCCAGGCTAAGAAACGCTGATATAATGCATTATTTGGCAGTGATCAATGCTAATCAAGGTGGCTAATTGCAACACTTGCAAACAGGCAAGTGTGAATGTTGCAATTGACCACCCTGGACATTCCACAGATATATACACCTCACTTGCCTAGTTTCCACCAAACCTTCTTCTTCTTCTTCTTCTTATTCTTATTATTATTATTATTATTATTATTATTATTATTATTATTATTATTTCGTATCAAAAGCATTGCATAACTTAGTATAAAACTGGTAAAAAATAGAAGGAGCGCAAGCGGCTAAATATCTTTTGACCAAAAACGTGCAACAGCAATGGCATTGTCTGTAGCCTCCAACAAGTCTTCCTCTGTACATGGGGCAGGGCATAGTGGACAAGCATGCAGATGCCGAGCTGTCTGTTCCGCTCCACAGTCACACAAGGTGTGGGATTCTTTGCCAGGTTGTCCAACAGACCTCTAAACCTCTGAGGATGCCTGCCATAGATGTGGGCGAAACTTCAGGAGAGAATGCTTCTGGAACATGACCCTACAGCCCAGAAAACTCACAGCAACCCATATGAAAGTAATATGTTACTTTCCCCCTCCAGGGAAAGAAACCAAGATATAGAGAAAGGTGGTTGTGAATCCTACCTGTCTCCGCAGCATAACAGAGGTCCTTCTTTTGCGGGGTTCTGGGTTCGAGTTCTTCTCTGAAAGATGTTTTCTGAGGGTTGAAAATCGAATAGGTAGTCGCTCCCAAGGCAGTTCCTTCGGCGACACCATTTCTGGGCGCACCGTCGCAAATCGTCCTGGATACATTGCTCAAAGTTGGTCTCAATCCCTTCTGAAGACAAACAGATTCTGCCTCTTTATTATTTATTATTGTTATTTAACGCTGCCAGCTTCACCCCACCCCCCCGCCCACCCTCCCCCCAAACAGCCGGTTGTAGGTCAGCAAGAAATGGTCAAACAGAAGGATCAGGAACAGCAGGGAAGTGAAGGCAACCTGGGCTAAGTCAACACAGTTTGTTGGGAAGGAACACACCAAATTATTTATCCTAGGCAACCTCGCCTGGAGGGGGAGAAGGAGAAGGAAAGCAGATGGGATGCCCCACATTCTTGGGGGAGATCTGAAGGGGGAAATTAGCGGATCGAGACCCTCACTTTGGGGAGAGTGAGCAAGGGGGCTGAAATAGAAACCTAAGATTTTTAGGAGGCTTACACAGGATTGTAGGCTTGAACTTATGCGAATTCTATGCTCCTCTTTGGCTGAAGCTACACTGCCAAACAATGCAATGTGGTAAGTATAAATAAACCCACTTATAACGCAGTTCAAACTGCAATATTAGGCGGTGTAGATCCAGCCAGAGAACTCCTTCCTCGCTGCTAGGCTTGATATTTAGCTTCCTCATAATGGGACCATTTCCCCTCCATTATTAGACTTTCCAGCACAAGAATGAGAGGATGGGGCTCAGCTTCTAAGGGGCGAATGGGACTAAAATCTCGACATTTTGCTAGTAAACAAAGCAGATTTTAGCGTTGTTCGCCTCTCACGAAAGAACGGGCACAACACCGGATCATTTGCAGCCTTGAAATAGGAAACCCGGGGCTTTCCTCCTCCTGAAGGAGATTTTCGATCCGGTAAGATCTCCAGCTTGGAGCAAAACTTGGTCCACAATTGGGAGTTCTTTTACCTCCACCGCTTGGAGGTAACTGAATGGGATGGATGGGCAAAAGCAAGCCACGTGTGAAAGGATTGAAAAGACTCTGTTTCTATGAGTGCAAAGAAAAAAGGGCTTTTAGTGAAGGCTGTACTCAAGGGAATCAAGTCTCATTACATCCAACGGGACTTGTTTCCGAGTAAACATACAGAGAATGGGGATCCAAGGCTCTTGGTTGTCGGGTTTATCCTACCAAATAATAAGCTGCAAAATGGTATGATTCTCCCCTTGGGACTCAATACAGTTTTAGTCCTAATCACATAGGACCCGTTAGGAATGAGATTTGTGAAGCGATGGAAACGGAGCGGGGTGAGCTCCCGTCTGTCAGCTCCAGCTTCCCATGCGGGGACATGAGAGAAACCTCCCACAGGATAGTAACACATTCCGGACGTCCCCTGGGCAACTTTCTTGCAGATAGCCAATTCTCTCACAGCGGAAGCAACTTGCAGTTTTTCAAGGAGCTCCTGACACGAAATAAAACCAGTAAATGGGAAGTTTGGAAGACCGATTTCTCCCCAGTTAAAGGGGAGAAGATGGACCATTAAAAATACTCCATAAGAAGTTTTTTGTCCATCCACTTCCTCCAAAATTCAAGGTTTCTGTTGTTCTTTTTGAAAAACAAAAACAAAACACTATACTAGAATCCTAAGATGCGTTCTTTGAAACCTTCATTCCACACCTCTAGCAAAACTTTTTTGGTGTTTATTGGCTACACTTACACTGGATAATTAATACAGTTTGACACCCCTTCCGCTGTCATGGCTCAAAGTATGGGATCGTGGGGTTGGTAGTTTGATGGAGCTTGGGAACATACTACAAGTCCCTCCTGGTGTGAGAGAATTGGCTTCTGCGAGGACCTCACCCAGGGGACTCTCGGCTGTGATGCCATCCTGTGGGAGACTTCTCTCAGATCCCCACATGAGAAGCTCTAAAAGGACAGCTTCCACATTTCCATAGCATTAGGTAAAGGTAAAAGTAGTCCCCTGACATTAAGTCCAGTCATGTCTGACTCTGGGGTGCGGTGCTCATCTCCATTTCTAAGCCGAAGAGCCAGCGTTGTCCGTAGACACCTCCAAGGTCATGTGGCCAGCATGACTGCATGGAGCGCCATAGCATTAAGTCATGTCAATTATAAATGCTGTCAAGGTGCCTTAATTCAACAGAGTAGATGCATCAAAGGAGAGGTGGGCATTATTATTATTATTATTATTATTATTATTATTATTATTAGATACATAACAAAATTAGTACACAGCAAACAAGGTCACTATACTGGCTTTGTATATGATCACACCTTGGGATACTTCCCAAGTGTCTAGGGGCCCTTCCACAGAATATATCCCAGGATATCAAGGCAGAAAATCCCACAATATCTGCTTTGAACTGAGTCATCTGAGTCCAACCTCAGATAATGTGGGATTTGCTGCCTTGATATTCCGGGATATATATCGGCATGCAGATCCGACTAGGCTGGCCTTTTGCAGCTGACAGATGGTAATTTTGTCAGCATAGATTGTAAGTGCAGGCCAAGGTCTTCAGGCACTACACCCAGTGTGCCGATTACCACTGGGACCACCTTGTGCCAGAGTCTTTGCAGTTCTATCTTTAAATCCTCATATCTTGTAAGCATTTCCAGTTGCTTCTCGTCAATCCTGCTGGTGCCTGACCAGAAGCAACTGGAAAAGCTTACACATATTATTATTATTATTATTATTATTATTATTATTATTATTATTATTTTACTGACACAAAAACACAGTATGTCACAGCAAAAGAGATCTATATGCTGGATATAGATCTCGTTTGCTGTGACATACTGTGTTTTTGTATCAGAATAATAATAATAATAATAATAATAATAATAATAATAATAATAATAAATGTAAGTTTCTTGCTTCTCATCATCCTCATATATCCTGGATTTCGTATCACAAAATCACATTATTATTATTATTATTATTATTATTATTATTATTATTATTCTGACACAAAAACACAGTATGTTACAGCAAACGAGATCTATATGCTGGATATAGATCTCGTGTGCTGTGACGAACTGTGTTTTTGTGTCAGTAAAATAATAATAATAATAATAATAATAATAATAATAATAATAATAATAATAATAATAATTGACCTTACCTGCTTGGAGTTACCATAATGGGACAACACGGGGCCCTTCCAGACAGCCATATAACCCAGAACATGAAGGCAGAAAATCCCACAATATCTGCTTTGAACTGGGTTATCTGAGTCCACACTGTCGTGTATCCCAGTTCAAAGCAGAAAATGTGGGATTTTATTCAGCTGTGTGGAAGGGGCCACAGAGTAATCCTATAGTTTAGCCTATAGGAATACTATAAGCCTGTTTCTCTGCACTTTAGCTTGAAAAACACTGCATGTTTGGCCCCTTTGATTGAAAAGGGGAAAGAATCAGAAGTCCACCCAAGCCCCAAAAAGCATCATAAAGCTGTCTGGATAATTAACCCTCCCGTGTCTGTCAGTAGCTCGTTTATTTGCGTTTTTCTCTGGTTTGTTTATCTTCCCACCCCCTCCGACCCTCGGCCTTTCCTCTCCTGGGGAAGCTCAGATCTCCCCAGCCGGGGGTTCTATTTACCTTGAAGATTCAAGCCTTGGTACAGATCAAGCTCTTTTTTAAAAAATGCTTTAACATTTCCATTTATTTATTGCAGAAAAAAAATATACAATAATATTTACAACAACGACGACAACAAAAGCAATTGTAAAAATAAGAATGCATTTAGACACCGGATCTATTTGCATTTTAACATGGGTCATCAATAAATAAATAAAATGTTTCAATTGTGGTTTTTTTCCCCACTCCCTCTTTTCTATATAGTTTTGTTTTTTTGTCCAGGGAGGGTTCAAAACAAATGAGGAACGAGATAGGGTTTAGAAAAAAAGTTGGAGTCGATAATGTTTGACTATCCTAAACAAAAAAATATATTTTCTTCCCCTCTTTCTCGCTCCCTCCCGGATTTCGTGGTCCTTGGATCTGTGTTTATATATAATATCGTATATGAAAGAAGGGGGGAAGTCCACAGTCATGTATTTCCTTTCACTAGTGGCTCGGTAAGGTCTCTTGGGGGTGAATGCATGCAAGAACAAGGGCAAAAAAAAATTTAAGGAAGTCAAGGGAAGGGAGAAGTGAAATTCCAACATTCTTCGTCAAAATAGGAAAAAAAATAGAGAGAGAAATAAACCGGTTCAGATTTCGATCAGAATGCAGAGATGTGTCTGGTAGGCTCACCCAGCCTCCTTCTCTTTCTCTCAATCTTTCTTGTGTTCTTTTTTTTGTTCTGGAGCAGCCAGCTCGCCGTCTGAAAGGGTCTCTCGCCTCCAAAGGCTCTCTCAATCTCCCTGATTTTTGGCCCAGATCAGGTTCCACGTTTCCAAGCCAATCTTGGGCTCGATCTCGTCTTTGGGGGGAGAAAGAAAGAAAGAAGGGCTCAAAGGGAACCCCCGGAATCCAAAGGTAGAGTCTCTAGAGTGTCCGTTTCTCTTCCTCTCCTCCTTGAGGAACGAGGTCATCTGCAAAAACCCAGAAAGGGAGAAAGAAGGCAAGGGTTATTGGGAGAGCAAAATACAAGAAAGCGGTGAATCATTGAAGGCTTTCATGGCCGGAATTACTGGACTGTTTGTGAGTTTTCCGGGCTGTAAGATCATGTATTGTCGAAGGCTTTCATGGCCGGGATCACTGGGTTGTTGGGAGTTTTTCGGGCTGTATTGCCATGTTCCAGAAGCATTCTCTCCTGACGTTTCGCCTGCATCTATGGCAGGCATCCTCAGAGGTTGTGAGGTCTGTTGGAAATTAGGAAAATGGGGTTTATATATCTGTCGAATGTCAGGTGTGGATGTTTCAATTGGCCACCTTGAATAGTATTTAATGGCCTAGCAATTTCGGGCTATACAGCTCGAAAAACTCACAACAACCCTGTATGGCCATGTTCCAGAAGCATTCCCTCCTAACATTTCACCGGTATCTATGCCAGACATCCTCAGAGGTTATGAGGTCTGTTGGAAACTAGGAAAATATATATCTGTATAGCCCGAAATTGCTAGGTCATTAAATACTGTTGAATATATATATATATATATATATACACGGACTATACAGCTCGAAAAACACACAACAACCCTGTTTGGCCATGTTCCAGAAGCATTCTTTCCTAATATTTCGCCTGCATCTATAGCAGGCATTCTCAGAGGTTGTGACGTCTGTTGGAAACTAGGAAAATGGGATTTATATATTTGTGGAGTGTCAGGTGTGGATGTTTCAATTGGCCACCTTGAATAGCATTTAATGGCCTAGCAGTACAGTCCGAAAAACTCACAACTCTCTATCTATGGCCATGTTCTTGAAGCATTCTTTCCTGACGTTTCGCCTGCATCTGTGGCAGGCATCCTCAGAGGTTGTGAGGTTTGTTGGAAACCTCTGAAGATGCCTGTCATAGATGCAGGCGAAACGTCAGGAGAGAATGCTTCTGGAACATGGCCATACAGCCCGGAAAACTCACAACAACCCACAAGAAAGCGACATTTCCTCCTGCTGGTCCCAAACCTGACAATGCTGGATTCAAAGCAAGGCTCAACAATGTGCCTTATGTCTCTGTGTGTGTATTTTTGGGGGGAAGGTAACACAAAGGAAGAAGGGGATCTGAGCAAGGCATGAAATTAGGAAACGCGCCGAGGGAAGGGTCACGCATATCTAGGCGACTGGGGATGTGGGGCGATGGCGAGGGACACACGATCTCCCCTTGGGCTCAAAACAGAGCGAATCAGAAGCAAGGTATGTTTGATTTCAGGCTGGCTTACTCCTGAGGAAGACCTATTCCCTACAACCCGAGCAAGTTGCACCTTAGGCCCCTTCCACACAGCCCTATATCCCAGAATATTATGATTAAAAAATCCCACATTATTTGAGGGCCCTTCTATCAAAGCAGAAAAACCAACAATATCTGCTTTGAACTGGGTTATCTGAGTCCACACTGTCATATATCCTGGTTCAAAGCAAATAATGTGAGATTTTATTCAGCTGTGTGGAAGGGGCCTGACTTTGGACTCAAATAACCCAGTTCAAAGCAGATATTGTGAGATTTTTCTGCCTTGATATTCTGGATTATATGGCTGTATGGAAGGGCCTTGGAGCTAGTTTTCTCAAGGCTGAATTGACATATTTTGGTGCCTCAAATGTTAGCCCTGCTTTTGGGTATATTTGACCTGCTGATTCCAAAGATTGTACCAGTTTCCCCCTATCCGCTCTAGTTTTGGAGATACAGAACATATGCCAGCAGTTCTCATCTGCTCTCCTATATTTATTTCTTGTCGAAAGCATTGCATAAGTCTAAAACTGATAAAATAAAAGGGTCACAGGAGGGCAGATAGTTTTAGACCAAACATTGGTAACAGCAACTGTATTGTGTGTAGCTTCAAACAATTCTTGCACTGTGCATGAGGCAGGACATTGTGGACAAGCGTACCGAAGCGTACCGATGCTGACTTGTTTGTTCTGCTCCACAGTCAACAAAGTCACCTTTAGCAAATCATGATAATCATATCCTGAGATCTATATCCAACACACTTTTCTGAATCAGTGCCCCAAATAATCCCAGGAACAGGTCTCAAAACAGGATACTAAATAACTGCCTCATCACACTAGAGAATGGATCCACTTTAAATCCAGTTTCTGCCTCCTGCAGAATTCTGGGGGTTGTAGTTTAGTGAGGCTGTTAAAAGCTCCTCCCTAAACTACAAATCCCAGAATTCTGCAGGAGCCAGTTTTTAAGTGGATTTCTCTCTCTAGTGTGATGAACTTGCCAGTCACATCTCCTTATTGGTATAGCATAATAGCTTCCACTTCTTTACACATTTTCTATTTACACAAGTGGATTCATTCTCTAGTGTGATGAGATCCTAAGAACTTTGTTCAGTCAGGGATCTAATGTAAATCCAACCCAAAACCAAAGGGAAGGAAGAGTTTTATAGCTCTGGGTGGAAAAACTACATGGTGGATGGAATGCAGTTTGGCCCTACTTTCACTGCCATGGCTCAATGCTCTGTTGTCGTTTGAGAGCGACTTTAGCCTTCCCTGCGGTCCTTCCCCAAACTACAACTCCCAGGATTCCACAGCACCGAGCCCAACAGTTAAAGTGAGGTCAGACTGTATTAATTCTACACTGTGTGCGTTTTTATACCTGGACCCTCTTGGTTAGACCCAAACAAAGCTCGTCTGGCGAATCAATACTTCGGTCAACGCTCTCCTCTGGTTGGACACCCCCCCCCCCCCGGTTTGGTGTCACTTTGCAAAAAAAAGGGGGTTCATGGCTTGATCTGAATCCTAACCGCAGTGTAATTCAAGAGGGCAGGAAGAGAAGAAATCTCCACACACATATATTGCAGGAGAACCCGAGTCCTAAGGTTTGTTTGGAAGGAAGGCCTGAAATGGGTTCAAAGCAAAACTGGCTTGACTCTAAGGCTGGAGAGATGCAGTCTCTCTCTCTCTCTCTCTCTCTCTCTCTCTCTCTCCCTCCTCCCCCCCCCCCCCCCCCCGCCCTTCCCTCTCCCACCCCGTCCTGGGATTCCATTGCTTAATGTTGCTTCTACTTCGAATTAAATATTCAATACACTGTAACTGCAAAGATTTTCCTTCCCAATAGGCGCCAAGTGTGCCTAAAGCTTCAGCCCCCATAAACTGAGAGATTGGATCTACCCATATAACTGCGCTATATAGGTCTTCACTGACCATACTACTCAGGATTTACTCCCAAGTAGAGCTTTTCTGCCTGACCACTCTCTCAAAGGCCCCTTCCACATAGCTGAATAAAATCTCACAGTTTCTTCTTTGAACTGGGATATATGGCAGTGTGGACTCACATAACCCAGTTCAAAGCAGCTATTGGGAATTATTCTGCCTTGATATTCCGGGCTAAATGACTGTGTGGAAGGGCCCAAAGACAGCTTTCCACCCCGTCTTCAGACTCAATCCACATGATTGTTAGGATCAACAAACCCTTCCACACAGTGATATAACCCAGAATATCAGAAAATGCCACAATGTCTGCTTTGAACTGCATTATCCGAGTCCACACTGCCATATATTCCAGTTCAATGCAAATAATGTGGGGTTTTATTCAGCTGTCTGGAAGGAGCCCTCGTTAAGGTCTCAAAGGAGGCAGTTTAAACCCACGCGTGTTTACTCGGAAGTAAATCACGGGGCAGAGACGTGAGGGTCCCCATCCCGCAACTAATTGCTTCCCATTCCTTGAGCAAACCGTACCAAACAAGACGAATCACCAGTCTATTTCCGGAGTAGGAAGTCGTGCTCTACGTGTAAGGCTGGATTTATACTGCCAAATAATGCAGTCTGAACTACATTATATGGTCCCACACTGACCATATTGAGTCCAAACTGCATTATTTGGAAGTATAGATGCCGCCCAACCCTTAGTTTTAAAAGCTATGTGCTATTAGTCTCAAACCATTGATTAGATTGTATATATGCTTAGCATTTTCCGGGGGTTTACTCTAATTAGAACAATAGAGGGTTCATTTACATTGTAGAGTTGCGGCAGTTTGATACCACTTTGAACTCCCATGTCTGTGGAACATTGGGTTTTATAGTTTTATAATAGCTTTAGCATGATTACCCCCATGATGCCGTAGCATTGAGCCATGGCAACTAAAGGGGCGCCAAACCGCTTTAGTTCTACAGTGTAGATGCACCCTAGGTTGATTCCAAATCTTCCCAAAGCTTCAACCTCTTTTCACGGATGGTTCATAGGGGGGAAAAACCAAGCATTTCCATTTCTAGTCAAGTAAGGATGCAGAAGTTGACGATGTTGGTGCTGAAGTGGAAATGCATAGAGAATCCCTACATATGAGTTTAGCATAGAAAGTTAGAATAGGCGCAATGGAAAACAATTAGCTTCTAAATAATCCTATATTATCAAATTTAGGGCAGTTTAAATATGCTAAAGGGTCCAGCTCATGTCTGATCTTGGAAGTTAAGAAGAGTCAGCTTTGGTTAGTACTTGGATGGGAGACCACCAAAGAATACAATGAAAGAGGCAAAATAACCTAAAAAGACCATACGAAAGTCATGAGGTGGCCATACATAAGTCCACAAGGGACTTGAAGGCACAAATACATACACTTTTACATTAAGCTCAGACTATTAAAGCTGTGGTTAGTCTCCCCTAACGTGGTTCCACCAAAAGCAGTTGGTTTCGTCTAACAAACTGCATTCTTTTCAATAGCTTAGGTAGACCTAATATTGGATCACTGTTGGTCCAGCGTTGGTTGACTTGCAGCAACAAACACCTCACTGAAAGGAGCTTCCTTATGGACATGCACGCAGTTTTCCAAGTCAGTAGTAAAAACACACCAGAAGATTCAGGTAAGGCTGTTTCCATTCCTACATTGTAGGATTAATGGTGTTTGCCACCACTTTAACAGTATGGGAGTTGTAGTTTGGTGAGGCCCTAGCACAAAGAAGGTTAAAAATCTTATCATTGCCTAGTTTTGTCGAAGGCTTTCATGGCAGGAATCATTGGGTTGTTGTAGGTTTTTTCGGGCTATATGGCCATGTTCTAGAGGCATTCTCTCCTGACGTTTCGCCTGCATCTATGGCAAGCATCCTCAGAGGTAGTGAGGTCATAGAGAGAGAGAGAGAGATTGCCTAGTTTCTCTCCCTCTTCCTCTCTCTAGGTATGTGTGTGTTGAGGATGACTTTGCTTAAAGATCCCCAAGAATCCTAACACACAATAACACATACATCATTCTGCCTGGTGTCGCAACCTTTTCCAAAGCTTTGGTAAGTAACTGTCTCCCACGGGAGTCCGTGCGATTTTCTCGCGAGAGGAAAAAAAAAAAAAAAGAAAGGAGCGGAAAGGAAAGTTGATAGTTTCCCGGTTCCCCCTTGCTTTGAAATCGGTCAGAATTAAAGGGAACTTCCGAGGAGATGAAGTTGAAATGCTCGCAAGGTTTGGGTGGAAAGAAAACGTCCTCAATAACGTCATCACAGTGCAAGCTAAAGGCAGGAGATAGTTTAGGCCTCATGGAAACAGCCATATATTCCAGTTTTTGAATTCATTCGCTTTGGCAGCGTAGACGCAAATAATCCAGTTCAAAGCATATAATATGGATTCAGAAACTGAATTATATGGAAGTGTAGATCCAGTGATATATTATTTTGGATTGGGTTTCTCCTGAGTAGGGAATCCCGATCTGAACAGTTCAAAGCATATAATATGGATTCAGAAACTGAATTATATATCCCTCACCCAAGACAAAATAGGTTTGTTGATGTATCCAGCTCTATATCATTTAATTCTGCATATAGCTAGTTGTCTGTACTTTCAGAGTGGACAGGAATCTTTTGGTAAAGTTTATTGAGTGGAAATTGCCTTTTTCTGAGGCTGAGAGTGTGTGTAGTCTGACACTATTTTAACCTAAGCAAAATGTTATGGATTCCTGGAAGGTGCCCTTTGACAAGGTCTTCACCTTCTCTGTCAAAGAGTGCTGGTGTCCTACCAAACTACACCCCATAATAGTTAATGTGATGTCAAACTGCACCAGTTCTGCCCTGTAACCCACATTGGCTCTCCCGATGTCTGTATTTAGACACCTATCTATCCTTATCTAAGGAAAAGTAGGGTTTATTTCACTTGAAATAAATCCTACTTTTTCTAGCTGTAGCTACAGTGCTCTGAGGTGGAAAGATACCGATTTTCTATCACGCCTTGTCAGGACTGTTTGTGTTCTTGGGCCTCATTTTGTCCATCTCCATAACTCTATAAAGAAAGTTAAGAGGGAAGAGGGGCACTCATATGGAGTTAAGAATGTGAATTGGGATCTGGAGGTAGCTGGAGTGATCTTGAGAGGTATTTCTGGAAGGGCAGCTCCTGAGGGGAGCTGAACCAACTTCTCCTGACCTCCCTCTCTTGGTCTCCCCCAGGTTGAATGAAGCCTATCCTTGGAAACCAAGGGGGAGCAGATTGTTGTTTTACACACCCCTGTGGACCTACCTTCCCTCCCACCCACCTCTTCCCCCATGATGGTGCTGAAAGAGAAGCTGGATGGATGGCTCTGAAATCCAACAAAACCATCTCAATATGGTTTCTCAGGAGGACTATTGCAGTCCTCCATTCCTCATTAGTCTCAAGCCCCAAATCCACTGCCATACAATGCAGCTTGGATTGCATTGAACCGCATTGTGAGTCTACACTGCCATATAATCCAGTTCAATTTGCATTATAATGGTAGTATAGATGGTGTCTTTCTCAGACACCTTCCTGAAGAATTGTACAGAGGACTCCACCAGACAGCTGGGTTGTGCAGTTTCTGAATTCTGATTATCTGGTTTGAACTGGATTACACTGGGGTAATGAATGGGTTTTCATATTCTATATCTCAAAGGCCGTCTCTTATTTCAAAGAAAAATGAGATTTTTCAAGTGAGGAGCCTACCTATCTAACATCCCAACGGGTGGGAAACTCCTATTTGTGGACCTCAGTGCCTAGGATCCTCCGCCATGTGGCTATGCTGATTAGGGGATTCTGAGACTTCCTGTTTGTGTTGCAGTTTTTGACTTCTGTCGATTCTTTTTTCTTGGCGGAATTTGTTCAGAGGAACTTTGCTTTTGCTGGCCTCTGAGGAAAAGAGAGCATGATTTACCCAAGGTCACCCAATGGATTCCTAGGGCCTAGCAAATCCCAGGTCCCCAAAGTCTATTTCAAACAAGTATACCACACGGTCTCTCTCTTTCTATCTGTATTTAGACAATATTCATGCATAAATTCTGTAGGTGTGAAAGGGCATGGCTTCTTTCAAGTGGAAGCTTCCTCTAGCTTTAGATACTGTAATGTCTTGGAGTGGAAGCCCTGATCTCCAGGAAATAAGAAGTCTCCTTAGTTACCAAAGAAATTTGAGTGAAACTCAGATTCCCCTTCGGGACCTATGCTCAGACCACATATCTGGGGGTGAGAGGAATGGAGAACACGTCAGCCTAGAAGTTAAAAACCTCTTTCAAGGTCTCTGTGTGGAACTTCCTTCCTTCCTTCCTTCCTTCCTTCCTTCCTTCCTTCCTTCCTTCCTTCCTTCCTTCCTTCCTCCCTTCCTCAGGCCAGCCTAAAAACCTTCGGGGGGTTGTATGTGGAAAAGGGGGGCACGCTCTTTCAGGACTCTCTGTGTGGAACTAACTTCCTTCCTTCCTTCCTTCCTTCCTTCCTTCCTTCCTTCCTTCCTTCCTTCCTTCCTTCCTTCCACAAGTCAGCCTAAAAATTAGATGCCTCCTTCGGGGTTTGTGTGTGGAAAAGGGGGGCACGCTCTTTCAGGTCTCTCTATGTGGAACTTCCTTCTTTCCTTCCTTCCTTCTTTCCTTCCCTCTCCCCTTTCCTTCTTTCTACAGGCCAGCCTAAAAGTCAGACGCCTCTTTTGGGGTTTCTGTGTGGAAAAGGAAGCCACCCTCTTTCAGGTCTCTCTGTGTGGAACTTCCTTCTTTCCTTCCCTCCCCCCTTTCCTTTCCTTCCTCCTTCCCCCCCCCCCCCCCCCATTCCTTCCTTCCTTCTTTCCTTCCTTCATTCCTTCCACAGGTCAGTCTAAAAGTCAGACGCTTCCTTCGGGGTTTGTGTGGGAAAAGGAGGCCACCCTCTTTCAGGTCTCTGTGTGTGGACCTTTCCCCCTCCCTCCCTCCCTCCCTCCCTCCCTCCCTCCCTCCCTTCCTTCCTTCCTTCCTTCTACAGGCCAGCCTAAAAGTCAGATGCCTCCTTCGGGGTTTGTGTGTGGAAAAGGAGGCCACTCTTCCGGCCCCTTTTCCCTGGATCCATGCCTCTCTCCCTCAACCCTTCCTTCCTCATTTCCTCCCTCCCTCCCTCTCTTTGCTTCTAAAGAGCCTGAAGCCTCCTTGGGGCCTCTTCCTTCTTGCCTGGTCCTTTCTCTGGCTCCTAGGACCGGCCACTTTTGGGTTGTGCCTGGGCCTCCCCTCCTTGCCCGCTCCTTCCTCACCTGGTTCCGGCGGCGGGCCCGTGGGGCGAGGGGGCCTCGGGCGGGGCTAGTGGGAGGCCGACATGGACCAGGCGCCCTCCATGCGCCAGACGGAGAAGGCGTAGCTGAGCCGCTCGTGGGCCACATAGCTGCAGCTGGCCATCTTGGAGTCCAGCTCGTCGCTCTGCAGGACCTGGTAGAGGAAGTCGATGTAGCGGGCGGCCAGCTTGAGCGTCTGGATCTTGCTCAGCTTGTCCGAGGGCAGCGTAGGGATGATCTTGCGCAGCGCCGCGAAGGCCTCGTTCAGCGACTGCGTGCGCTGCCGCTCCCGCACGTTGGCCATCACCCGCTGCGTCTGGAGCTCCTCGTAGGACTGCGGGCTGCCCCCGCCGCTGCTGCTGCCCCCGCCCCCGCTGCCCCCGCCGCCGCCGCACTTCTTGCCCCGCTTGCCTTGCGCCGGGCTGCAGGGCTCCTCCGCCGAGCCGGGCGCTGAAACCGCTCCCGTCCCCGCTCCGTTCCCAGCGAGGCTCCTGCGGCTGGATCGCCTCTTGCGCGCCCCTCGTTTGTTGGGGAGCTGCTGCTGCTGCCGGTCGGGCTCCTCCTCGCTGTTGCTGAGGCTGTCGTCGGCGGGCGAGGCGGGAGAACGGGACTCGTCCTGGGACGGCGGCGGAGGAGGAGGAGGAGGAGGAGGCGGCTGCTGCTGCATCATCTCGGGGGCCAACCCGCGGCAATCGGAGGGGCCCTTTTGAGGGGGCGAGGGAGGGGGAGAGCCCGAGCCGGCCTGCTCTCCCCGGCCCCAGACCTTGCTTTCCCCCAAAAGTCGGCGGGACTCAGTTAGGAGGGGCAGCGGAGGAGGAGGAGGCCATCCCTTGCCTTCGGGCGGAAAATCCGACTCGGGAGAGAGACAGCAGCCAAAGAGGCGGAGGAGGAAGAGGAGGAGGAGGAGGACAACCCCTCCTCTTTCTCTCTCTCTTTCCTTTCCTCTTTCTTTCTTTCTTTCTTTCTCTCACTCTCTCCCTCCCTCCCGAGGGCTCCTTGGAGCTGGCCAAAAGACCAGCCCGGGACGCTCTTATAGCTCCTGGGGGCGGAAAAGTTTGGGGGACCGCGGTGCCATTGGCTTGACGCGGAGAGGAGGGACTTTCTCTCGGGGTGAGAGGCAAAGTTTCCGCTTCCCCCCTCTTCCCCTTTCCCTCCCAAGACCGTTAGCCAGGCACCTCTCCCGCTCCAAAGGCCTCCGATCCCTCTCTCCTTTGGTGCCGTCCCCTCTTCAGCCTTTATTTATTTCTCAAGTGGCCCGGATGCGGGGAGGAGGAGGAGGAGGAGGAGGAGGGGAGGGCTCCCAGGCAGCCCCGATCCTCTCCTTCTCCTTCTCCTCCTCCTTCTTCCTCTCCTCCTCCTTCCAGAGGAAGTTCCTTCGAACGAGGCAGCCTTGCGCGCGGATCAATGGGGAAAAAGAAGGCTGACCGGCTCAATCCCATCTTCAGGGAAAGAATCAGGCATGGGCCAACTTGGGCCCTCCAAGTGTTCTGGACTTCAACTCCCACCATTCCTAACAGCCTCGGTTCCTTTCCTTTCCCCCTCAGCCGCTCAAGCTGCTGGGGCTTTATCTGCTGGGGTTTTCTGCTACGGAATCCAGGGAGTTGTAGTTTGCTGATTCTCCACCATTCTTTGACAGAGAGCTCCCAAGATTCAATCTCATTGAGCCATAGCATTTAAAGTGGGGGTCAAATGGCATGAATTCTACAATGTAGCCCAGACATGGGCCAACTTTGGCCCTCCAGGTTGTTTTGGACTTCAACTCCCACCTTAAGCGGCTGAGGGGGAAAAGGAAGGGGCCTGAGGCTGTTAGGAATGGTGGGAGTTGAAGTCCAAAACACCTGGAGGGCCCAAGTTGGCCCATGCCTGGGCTACACTGTAGAAATCATGCCATTTGCCCCCCCCCCCCCTTAACTGCCATGGCTCAATGCCATTGAATTCTGGGAGTTCTCTGTCCAAAAATGCTGGCGCGTTAGCCTACTACAACTCCCTGGATTCCATAGCACAAAGGCCCAGTAGTTAAAGTGGTGTGAAATGGCAAGAATTGTTCAGTGGATATCATATATGCAAAACGCAAGGCCAGCAGTCCAAACCAGGCTTGAGTATAGGATGCTTGGCTTTAAAATGTCCTTTAACCCTCCTTCCACAACTTCAGAGCCACGATTGATCCCCAGTCCGCATAACACTGCACGATATTTGTTCTTGGTTTATAAATGCCGTTTCTTAATTGGTTCTATGATAACAACATAGGAAAAGGTGTGTTGTCGAAGGTTTTCATGGCCGGAATCACTTGGTTGCTGTGAGTTTTCCGAGCTGTATGGCCAAGTCCCGGAAGCATTCTCTTCTGACGTTTTGCCCACATCTATGGAATGCATCCTCAGAGGTTGAGAACTAGGCAATTGAGGTTTATATATCTGTGGAATGTCCATGGTGGGCGAAAGAACTGTTGTCTGCTTGAGGCAAGTGTGAATGTTGCAATTGGCCAGCTTAATTACCATTGAATAGCCTAGCAGCTTCAAAGCCTGGCTGCTTCCTGCCTTTATTTAAAAGCTTCACAGCCTTTAAAACTCTAAAATCAGGATAGTAAATAAAGAACAACATTCAGAAGACAAGGGAATTCCAGACAAGAAACAATCAGGGCCAGCTAACAGCTCCCAACAAACGATTCTCCCAACCAAGAAGCAGCCAGTCTCTACCAATCCAATATAGTTTGTGGCAGCCAGAAAAACGAAGATTTTGGAGTATACCAACTACTTTCGAAGTACGTCCCGCATAATTAAACAGGAAATAACACTTTCCAACCGGGAACAGAATTGCTTTCCAGTTTTGTTACACAGCGATGGGAGTTGCCCTTCAGTAACATCCGAGGACCTAAATTGTGTAAAAAAGTAAACTAAAGAGCACCGAACACTATGTTAAAAAGGGTTATAGTTGGCCTACTGCATGGACAAGTTCTCTGTCTATGGATTCAAGGTCTCTTTGATAGCAAACTTGAATCTGATGAGGCCCTCTATGGAAATAAGTGTAGATGCATCTTGGATGGGAGCCCTTTCCCCAGGCACACCTACATGCGGGGTGCCGGAGCGCGTGTTGGAGCTCAATAGCCCTTCCTCTCTCCCCTCTCCGACCCTTCCCCGACGTCCCTGTTCCGATCCTAAAGGCTCTCACTTCCGGAAGTGATATCAATGGTACTTGTTGCTGGCGCGCGACAGAGCAACATGTACCTGCAGACCTCGCGGATGGAAACGTGCACTGAGTCTCCTCCAAGGGCTGCTTAGGTATAAGCTTCAGCATCCCAGTGGGAGGCAATGTGCTGTGATGTTGTGGAGGAAGCTCTCGGCTGCTATCCCAATCCTCTTAAGTTGGAAGTGAATGCTCCTGGGAAAGACACTTCCAGTTCCAGGGGTGGAAAGATCCAGATGTGCGCGTGTATTCCAAGCAACCTCTGCAAAGATCTGGATTCTGGAAGGATTGAGAAAACAGGACCCCTGGTCCTGACCCAGGGTGCACCTACGCTGTTTGACACTATCTGCTATGGCTCGATATTATGGAATCCTGGGAATTGTAGTCCTACAAAGGCTTCAAACTACAGGAAAGGAGATTCCACCTGAACATGAGGAAGAACTTCTTAACTGTGAGAGCTGTTCAGCAGTGGAACTCTCTGCCACGGAGTGTGGTAGAGGCTCCTTCTTTGGAGGCTTTTAAACAGAGGCTGGATGGCCATCTGTCGGAGTGCTTCAAATGTGATTTTCCTGCTTCTTGGCAGGGGGTTGGACTGGATGGCCCACGATTCTATGATTCTAAGGTTTGCAGTCTCCTCTACCAAAGAGTGCTGGTGCCTCACTAAATGATGAACCCCAGGATTCCATAGCCTTTAGCCCTGGCAATTCAAGTGGGGTCAGACTGTATTCATTCTACAGTGTAGATGTACCCATGGAGTTACTTTATTCACGTGTTCGAGATCGGGTTGAGTGGAAAATAATTCACCGACCCACACAATTCTTGGTTTCTAGGCCTGTTTCTGGGGTTATTTGGGGCACTGGATAATTGCATTGGATAGGCTGCATCATTTCTAGTTTCTTAGCTATGGTTATCATAGTTTTCTATGGGTGAGCAGATGAACACTGGTGGTATATGTTCTGCATCTCAAACTAGGGGGGAACTGCTGACATTTTTGGAATCAGCAAGGTCTGGAGAACAAGCCCTATGAGGAAGAGTTTAGAGCTGGGCATATTTAGCCTGCAGAAGAGATGTCTGAGAGGAGACATGATGACCATGTATAAACATGTAAGGGGAAGTCACAGGAGGAGGGAGCAAGTTTGTTTTCTGCTTCCCTGGAGACTAGGACGCGGAACAATGGCTTCAAACAACAGGAAAGGAGATTCCACCTGAACATGAGGAAGAACTTCCTGACTGTGAGAGCTGTTCAGCAGTGGAACTCTCTGCCCCGGAGTGTGGTGGAGCCTCCTCCTTTAGAGGCTTTTAAACAGAGGCTGGATGGTCATCTGTCGAGGGTGCTTTGAATATGGTTTTCCTTCTTAGTATGGGGTTGGACTGGATAGCCCAAGAGGTCCCTTCCAACTCAATGATTCTATGATTCGATGACAATGATTCTATGAATATACCTAGAAACAGGTCTAATATCTGAGACACCAAATGTGTGTTGGCCAGTAAATTAAAACATGAATGCAGCACCTAGTGAGTTGGAAGGTGTTAAAACTAACCCACATTATCATGAATCCACAGCACCGTTTGCTGTGTTCAGATTAGCGGATTTGTGTGAAAAGAGTGTTTGCGGATCTCACTTTCCTAGTTTCCAAAAGACCCCACAACCTCTGAGAATGCTTGCCATAGATGCAGGCGAAACGTCAGGAGAGAATGCTTCTGGAATATGACCTTACAGCCCGGAAAACTCACAACAACCTTGCAATAGCAGATTTCTCTAGATATTCCACAATTCATATAGTCTCATATATTTTCCTCTGGAGAATTAAGTTTCCTTAAGGCATCAGATCCCATCCGATTTTGGAAGCTAAGCAGGTTCAGCCCTAGAACTAGAGAATGAATGGCAGGTGCTGTAGGCTATATTTCAGAAGAAAGAACTGGCAAAATCATCTCTGAGTATTCTAAGAAAATGTATTGTCGAAGGCTTTCATGGCCGGAATCACTGGGTTGTTGCAGGTCTTTCGGACTGTCTGGCTATGCTCTAGAAGCACTCTCGCCTGCATCTGTGGCAAGCATCCTCAGAGGTTGTGAGGATGCTTGCCACAGATGCAGGCAAAACGTCAGGAGAGAATGCTCCTAGCACATGGCCATACAGCCCGAAAGACGTACAACAACCACATTCTAAGAAAATCCCATGAAATCCATGGGGCCGACAATAAGGCGACTTGAGGATATTTGATTGAGATCCATACTCTCAAGGAAGGCAGTATTGCCTTTCTTTTGCGACTAATTTCACTTCATAACCTCCTTCGGATATCTTTCTGATCTTCCTTTTCCCTTTGCTTCGATTTTCCACAGATCCATCGACGATGTTTCTCCTTTCTTGTTGGGCTTGTCTCACCCTCAAAATAACCATTGGAAATGAAAGCATCGATTGGAATTAAACGAGGAACACCGTTTTAAGAATATATATATATATATATATATATATACACACACACACACACACATACACAGATTATCACAATAGAATAGATGGCACCTTTCTAACCCCTTTGATCCTTCCTATATCCATTGTCACCGTTGATATTTGCATTAGAATATCATTAAATAATAATAATAATAATAATAATAATAATAATAATAATAATAATAATAATAATACTTTATTTATATTCCACTCTATCTCCCCAAAGGGAGTTAAGGCGGATTCCAAAGGTATGTCCCTCAACTTTCAGAAAACGGACATATTGTCAATCAAAGATCTTTAGAAGGGCTTCTTTCAGCAAAGGAT